GGTCTCCGAGGTAAACAAACCGCCACACCACGCTAAGGTACAGTCTTTTCGTGGCGGATCTGGTCTCTTCGTGACGGAAAAAGTGGGCCAACCTCGAGGTAATGCAATACAAGGCCGACTCGTGGACGGGGTTGAGCAAGCTCACAGCACCCGTCCGAGCGAGAAAAATACAGGTAATTTCATTGGTCTCAATTTAGAGACCGTTGCAGAAATTACACTGCAAAGAACAGATACTACACATGATCTTAGCTCAGAGAGCCGAGAAGCGTGTAAATCGTATAACGTGCTGAGGAAACCATTTCAGTTGATGGGTGCTCCGTTCTGTCCAGGTGGCTGATGCTTCAAACAACATTAAGACACATGAAATTTACCGTCACTTTTGAGATCACTGGTCAAACTTTCTCCAGCAGAAAACAACTTTCGGGATGAGCACAAAATCCGTTCTATTTTGTTGATTAATCTCGCTCATAAAAGATTGCAGGAGTATGTGTAGGAGACATGAGGGGATGTAACAATTCTATTTTGTCGAAATGTCAAATAAGAAAACAGGAAGAACACTCTCGGGTTGCTCTATGAAACTCAAATTTATTAGGAAAATAGGAGAGCTTGGCACAGCTGTCGTACTGCACCTGAAGGCTGTGAATCATCACACCAAATTTAATGACGTGAATATAGTTCAACAAAATTCCGACTTACCTGCACAGAGTTGCCGCCTGAATTAAAATCCTGCCTGCTTTACTCTGCCTGGCGGTTTTCAGCAATCTGCCGTTTGGTCCAGCCTATTTGTCATGCACCGGTGTCTCGAGCACAACAAGTCACACACGACACGACATTTTCACACGTTTCACATATAAACAGTACATACAAAAGTATCCCTAGTCCAGAGTGTCATTCTTCACTTCAGGAAATAATCGGTTTGCGTAGTTAAAAGACAACCATGGGCATCCTTTCAAGAACCTGAGCACCAATAGATTTTCCACTGGCAAACCCCTTCAATGTACGCGTCTAAAATGACACGTCACCCAGCGTTTCGCGAGTCCCTAATCGGGCTGAACTAACTGCAACACGAACGTTGTCCGATGGCCGGTTGTAGTTCAGTTGAGTGATGACAAGTGTTCTCTAAATCGCTATGATGGCATCTTGAAAAGCTCGACGGTGCTCCATGGCGCTGATTAGGTGGATGAGGAGACATGACTGCCTTGACTGGTATGTTTGCATGTGGGCATATCCGAGGCCGATGACACGGGTTACGGAAGTGAACCTATGGTTAGTTTCGAACAGCCGAACTGGGCCTGTTCAACCTGGCGCTAGCTGACCGTGTACATAAAGTTCTCCTTTGGGTGAAGTTCCGTAAGGCTGGCTATAAGGACAATGAGTTTGCAAAACCAATGGCCAATCATTGTTTGACATTTTACGTTGATGCACACCTATACCTATCATCAAATACTGGTGTAAGGAAGAAAGCCCTTCGCCGCGAAGTCGTTTATTAGCACACACAAATTAAACGGTTGCTAATTATTGGACAGGAAAGTAAACGTCTCATATGCAGCTAGTTTTTTAAGTTTAACATCCGTACGCATCTTTTTGAACTTTAGTGAATGTCAATTGACTACCACGCAATTGTGAACGAACGCTGGAAACCAGTTCCACAAGTTCCGTAATAAACCCCACCTTTCATTGGAAGTGAAGCCGGGTTACATGAAAACCACATGCTACTCGCGTGCCCCATCAGTCGATTCCGCCGTCACACTGATAGGTAGTTAACTGGTGGTTATAAACCTGTCTCGGTACAATTGAAAAACTTCCTCAATCAGTTACTCGCTTGTGCACTTCGAAACCACTCGTCGAATTGCAAAGGCTCGTACGTCCTTGGATCTTGGATATTCGAACCCCATATATGTTGACCTAATGGAAGGTTTCCATCTGACTTAACAGATCGCTGTATTTTAAAGACATGTAACCTAACGCATGATGTCTAGGTCGGGGACGCGATCAGAAACGACCGTATTCCGCTCTAGAAATGACGGCCTATATTTCTCAACTCACTATTCCTCACATCTGCTGGGAACCGTAAGTTTATATCAACTGACGGGCACAATCAACGGGTAAAAATGAAGCACCTATGAACAGGTTTTGGCCTATACGACACTGGATTCTGAGGGTATGCTAATTTTTCAGTATACTACAATGCAATTTCGCATCGAAGTTGTAGTCCAATGTTCCTATGAACAACAAATCTAGTGGCTTTCAGTCCAGTCCCTTGTGAACGTGAAAATGAATTTGGATTGATTAAGCCTCTCCGTAAGAACACCTGGAGACCCTCCAAAAGTCTGAAAATACTGAGAGCCGTTGTTAAGTCCATTGCATCTAGATAGAAATTAATAGTGACTGTCATTATGAGACCTCTCTCTTTGTTAGGGCGGCGTTTGAGAAACCATGACTTCAATGTGAATTAGGGGTGAGTTTAAATATTCAACTATTAAACAGAGGATAAAATCCCCACACATTTTATGAGGACTGACTTGGAATGTTTCGGACAAAATTGCCGTGGAATAGCGTTCTTTGTTGAAAAAAGTGTGGAAAACCGCATTTGAGGTGACCAGTTTTCAGGCGCTTCAATTTGACGAATGAAGAGAAGAGTTCGAACACTCAACATCTGTCACAGCGACCTCACAGGCTGTGTTCAATTTCCACTCACAAACAATGCACAGTGTGTGAGCGTTCATTTTTTGCAATGATTTCAATGTACCACAGGCATCGCGACAGTTTTCGGTCAATTGTTCGTGGATTAATGGCATAATTAGCATTACCTGCTGTAATTTGTATTTGAAATGTTTCCATAAACAACTTTTCCCATATTATATTATGTATTACATAATATTCGTACTCTGAGTTGTTGGAGAGATATCTGTCACCGTCGACTCTCTGTCAGATTTACAAATCCCCCATGGCAATCTACAATTCCCGCGTTCATAAAACTTGGAAACAGGTTGGTGAAAATCAGTGAATATTTCGGTAAGCTAAGCAATATGTGAAATTCCCTGAAGTAAGGTATCTCTTTGATTTGCGTTACTCCAACAGGATTTCTCTCAGTACAAATTAA